GCGGCGGCGTCCGCCGGCCGGCCCCGAGCGGAGCGGGGCCCGGGGACGGGACGGGGCGCGACAGGGGGCGGCGGTACCTCGACAGACCCAGCGGCTGCGGCTCGCCCAGTGCTGCCACCGCCGGTAACGGGAGAGCCGAGTACCTCACGCGCACCTCGGGAGTACATCGGGAGCACCTCGCGAGCACCTCGCGAGTACCTCTCGCCTACTTCGCGCGTACCTCGGGCGTACCTCGGGAATACCTCGCGCGTACCTTGGGCGCACCTCGGGAGTACCTCGCGCGTACCTCTCGCCTACTTCGCGCGTACGTCGCGGGTACCTCGGGAGTACCTCGGGCGTACCTCGGGAGTACCCCGCGCCTACTTCGCGTGTACCTGGGGCGTACCTCGGGCGTACCTCGCGCATACCTCGGGAGTACCTCGGGCGTACCTCGGGCGTACCTCGGGCGTACCTCTCGCCTACTTACTTCGCGCGTACCTCGGGCGTACCTCGGGAGTACCTCGCCCGTACCTCTCGCGTACCTGGCGAGTACCTCGGGCGTACCTCGCGCGTACCTCTCGCGTACTCGCGTACCTCTCGCGTACTTCTCGCGTACCTCTCACGTACCTCGAGAGTACCTCGGGCGTACCTCGAGAGTACCTCGCGAGTATCTGGCGAGTAACTCGCGCCGCCGCTGGGGTGATTTTCGCCTCTTTTCAGACACTGGCGTTTCCGAGGTGCTGCAACGGACTTGTCAGGCGCGCCGCTTCCGGAGCCGGCGGAGTGGGTGGCCCTCTCTTTATGCCTTCATTTGCATCCTCGTAATATTACTCGTCGGTTGCTCGCCACTTGGGTGAGCCTAGATTCTGGTGTTGCGTGGCGGCGCGGGAGGAGTCGTTTCTATCCGTTTTATGGGAGCGAGTAGTGGCTCGTCTCCGCAGCAGCGCTAGCGAGCGGCGCTTCCCGAGGTGGCTCGTTCGTCCCTCCCGCGGGGTGAGGGCAAAAAAAACCGGCGGCGGAGGCCGGCACTCGAACGCTGGAAGAAGACCGTGGCGGGACTCGATCCCCAGGTCGATTTTTCTCCCCGCCCGGTCGGTGAAGTTTGAGCGAGGGCTCCTCCGATGATGGCACGGGCGGGCGAGCCCGTCGGTACGTCCCGGCGCAGAGATGCCTTAGCAGCGTTCCGGCTCTTGCTTGCAATTGCCTATGGGCCCGGTGGTTGTGACGAGGTGGCGGCACCTCTTCCCCTTCCCCCCCCCCCCCCCCCACTTCTTTTCCCTTCTGTCTCTTCGCTCTCCTTTTCGCCCTTTTCTCGTTCTTTTGCCGGCGTTAAAGCTGGAGCCCGCGGAGCGGGAAAGCAAAACCACGATGGCTGGGGATTAAGAGTGGCTCGCGGGAGCTCTCGTCGTCCTTTTGAGCACCCGGCCCCGAGTAGGGTCCCCACGGATTGGGCTCGGGCTGCCCTGCTGTCTCCGGACCAGCGTTCTGGCCTACCGTGGGAGGCCTTTTACGGGCATCTTGTCTCTCCTTTCCTGTCTTCCCCCGACCGATCGATGAGGCCTTTCGGGTCGCGTCGGAGAGGGCCCCCGGCGGGCCGGTCTCGTCTGCGCTCCCCGTCCTCGTGCGGGCCGCGGGCGGTGTCCGGTGTTCAGGCTGGGCGGTCTCCTTTCCAGCTCGCTTCCCGTGGCGTCCGAGGTGTCGTCCTCCGCCTTCCTCCCCCCACACCCCGAGCGAGAAGGAGCCGCGGCCGTGTCGGCGGCGGGGTGCGTGCCTCGCCGTGTCGGTCGCGTCCTTGGTGCTCTCTGCTCGACGCGGGGGGAGGTTCCACGGACTTGTTACCGAACCGGGCTGTGTGACGGCCGCGTGGCCCCGCGAGCCCTCAGGTGTCCTAAAGCACGCGAGGCGCCGGTGCTGGCCTCGGTCCGTGTGCCCGCGGGTGCCGGCCGCGAGCAGCGCTCGGGCGGTGGGGCGGCCTGAGCCGAGAGAAGGTGGGGGGAAGCGAAAAGAACCACCGTGGGCGGCAGGGGGGCGTCCCCCTCCGCTGCGGCCTCTGGCCGCGCCGGCTTCCTTCCGTGTGCCGCCTTCCCGCCTGCTGCCGAGCGAGCCGCCCCGGAGAGGGGCCTCGGTCGCCGGGTCGCACCCGCCTCGGCGGGTCGCTGCCTCCTCTAGCACGTCCGGTGCTCGCCGTGGCCGGGGGGAGAAGACGCCGGGGGCGCGTGTCCCCTCTCCCACCCCGCCCCTCCCTCCCTCCCGCCACCGCCGCCGCGCTCAGCACGCTCGACGGAGCGAGCGAGCGAGCGAGCGAACCGAAAGAAAAGCTACGTCTGCGAGAGGTCGCAGGCGGGGGGGCCGACCTCGGGGGCCAGGTCGGTCCCTGGCGGGCGCTGGCGAGCGTGGGAGGGAGGCCGGGCGCGTGTCCCCGTCTCGCGGGAGACGGGAAAGCGCGGTTGCCACGCCGCGAGAGAAGGGAAACCCGAAAGGAAAGCTGCGCAGCGGGTCCCGGCTCCTTGCCCGCGGCGGC